CTATTAGTTTTGTCTCAATCCAGCCGTAGCTGTATGATATAACTAATATCAATTAACCGTAGAGAATTATTAACCTTTCCCAAAATCAAATGAAAGGATTTTCAACTCAATACGTGACTTCACTGCCAGCGTACCGAAAAGAAAAGAAAGGAAATCACCAGACACGTGGGCGCTTGGAATTTTAATCTCGAAACCCCCTCCTGACATAAATTTAGCTATAAAATCCCTAGGTACTTCCGCAACCAAAGTACCAATGTTGCCAGGATTAATCCGATAATAAAAGAAAATTAATAATAAATCAAACAATTATAATAGTTATAAGTTAAATGCAATTACAATTAGATACACTTGATAATCGTTTAAGATCATTCATAAATAAAAGTATTAAAATAAGTTAAATGCTAAAATTAATTATTTAGAGACTCAAGTATGAATGAGGTGAAATATGATTTAAGAAAACTTCAAGAAGCTTTAATTAACACCGTTAGGCGCGTTGACGATTTGACGTTTGCTCTAACCACAAATTAATTAATCTTAACAAAAATCACAATCAAATTATTTATTAATAATAATTATTGAAGGTATTATTGTTATTAAAAGGTATGTACATCGTTTCTTATAATATAATTAATATAATATGATTTCCCTTTGTAGCAACCAAACAACTAACAAAATGCAATGAATATTTCCACTTGAACAGAAGTAAACAAAATACCAAAAGTGAGTATATAAAGTGGTTATTATTAATATTACTTTAATTAACGTTATTTTAGATAAATAAGAAGTCTTTACACGATGCATTTACCCTTCCATAACCTGAAGAATAATACCTCAAGATCGAGTCAAAGATATTATTTACAAAATATTACATTTGGCTAAAAATACAACAATATGAAGTTAAATTGTGATTTAAAGTTAACGCACATTTACTTTACTTGTAAATAGAAAATAAATAAGTAATTAATATGTATTAAGAAATGTATTGTTATATTTTATTAACGTGTCATCTTCAAGGTTATAAATAAAAATAATAAATCACCACATTCACCATTTTGTCAAGTCCATTCGGACTGTTTTTTCAGGAGGGAAGAAAAACTTCTTTTTTCATATTATAGGAACAATTTAAACCTGATTTTTTTAAAATGATATTATTTTTTGACATTTTGATTTGCTTTTATAGTTAAACTAGCGTGTACCAGCGACTTCGTTCGCGTCGAATTAATCATTTGTAATGGCGATGATAAAGCAAAGCAAGAATTTTCATTAATATACAAACTGGATAAAATTTTCTCACATTTATGTCAGCATGAGAAAAAACAATATGGCGATGTTATTATATAACTTACTAATATTTGAGGGGTAGTTTCATCTCGTTGGAATTTGACTTTCGAAAAATCCGTTTGCCAAAAATAAGCTTTTTACGTCAAACAGTTTAAGCAGAATCGTGGTTAAGAAGTTACCCAACTTTTTGGAACACACTGTAAGATTTTTTAAAAAATTTCAAAATATGCAAAAAAACAAATAAATTATGCTTGTCCAAGCGTTTTCCCGAAAGACTAACCGTTTTTTAAATAACAAATATTGTAATATTTGAGGGGCGTTTTCACCCTCTTGGAATTTGAGATTCGAGTAAACCCTCCTTATCGAACTTCTACACCCCACAGTCAATCCGTTTGCCAAAAATCAGCTTTAAACGTCAAGCAGTTTAAGCAGAATCTCTTAACTGTGACTGCGACTTTATGATTATGAATCCGAAAGCACAATCACGGCTAAAATATAAGATACGATACGAATGATACGATTCTGTTGTTGTTGTTATACTAATTTTTATTTGTCCTTTATCCAAGGCCGCTGAAATAGAAAACACTAAACAGTGGGTAAAAGGTATATTAAAAAATAAAAATAAAACAATTTTTTTATTTAAAGAAACCAACGGGAAAAGAATAAAATATGCAATATGCTCATAACCATAACGAACGAAACTTAACAACACGAGATAAGTAATACATTAAACAACAAATATTTTTCTTTGTATTAAAATAAACGAAATATATAAAAAATGAAGTTTCGAAAAAAAAATAAACAGTATAAAGGTAAAACTTTATGTTTGGCTTTAAAAAAACCTGCTAAACTAAAAAGGAACCAAACCGATTCGTAGTGATAAAAAATAGTAATAAAATATAAAATACATAAAAAATTAAATCACTTCTAACAGTCACTGTCTTTAGATCACTTTGTCAGATATCTATCCTATGAGACGTACGTGGTGACTCGTGACTGTGAACTGAGTCACGACCGGCGCCATCGGCAGCGGCGTTCGCGACGCGCGGCGTCCCGCTCTGTGAAGTATTTTCTCGTTACCAGAGAAATCACAATTAACTGTAATCGTCACGCTTTAGCAAGTCACCGTTTATTTTCAAATCAGTCACAGGCCGTGACTGTGATTATAGAATATCAGTGACAAAGTCACAGTTACCGATATTTCACTCATCACTAATAATTAACTCAATACAGCAATATTTTAAGGACTTGCGACATTTTCCAATTTTAATTTTGGATTTACCACAGATTCTCTTTATGGGCTTTAACTTAAAAAAAACTAAAAAATACTGTTTAGGTTAAACTAAGTATTTTTAACCATAGGATAAAAGCTGGTAACAGTAAATCTTTTGAACGTAAAAAATTCTACAATATTTTATTTGTAGCCTAATTCGTCATAAAACGAATGAAAGTCTTTTGGCATGGATATTGTTGTGTTTGTGGATCTATTGTTCGCGTTAACTTTTTCTAGACGTAGAATAAATAGACTGAGACTGTATGACAAAGTATTTCGTATATTGACTAATGTTACATATTAGGTGACAGTGTTGTCGTAACAAAAGTCCAAGCAATAGTGCCTGGTAAAAAAGGAACAAAAACAACAATTCATAAAAAATAAGTCTCTCTCTTTCCTCGCGCTACGCCGAAAAGCATCGCAATAGCTTAAGTCAGCAGAATGGTATACGAGGGAGTCTTAAAAAATACACATCCCGCCCACCTTGAAAGGTGCCTTTCAACGCACTGCAGAAAGGAACTTTAATCTACCGGTAGAGGTAACACACTGAACTTTGTAACGGCGCGTTTAAACACTCCGGTTTTTGTCTTTACGCTGGCCAGGCGAATTATGTTGTCCTTCCCAGGATGTACGTCGATGACTATGCCCAAAATCCATTGCTGCGGAGGGATGTTTTCCTCGCGAAGCAACACCAATGAGCCAATCATAATTGAGGGATCCGTCCCGCTCCTCCATTTAGTTCGAGCTTGAAAAGAAGTCACGTATTCCAGTGACCATCTGCGCCAAAAGTGCTGAGTCAGCTGCTGAAGACGTTGGTAATGGTTGAGACGATTTTTTGGAACTTCAAAAACATCTTGCGGTACAGCCGATAGCAAGTCACCAATAAGGAAGTGGCTAGGTGTTAAGGCGGAAAGGTCATTGGGATCACTGGATAAAGGTGTCAAGGGTCTCGAGTTTAGAATTGCCTCTATCTGACATAAAACAGTAGACAGAGACTCGAAGGTTAAAAAAGCCTCCTTCAAAATTCTGGTCAAGTGAAATTTTATCAATTTTACGGCAGCCTCCCATAAACCGCCAAATGAGTGTGAACGTGGTGGTATAAAGTGCCAAGTAATATCATTATGCAATAAAAATGATGAGACTTCTGGATTTTTTAAAGCTTCCTGAATTGAAAGAAATATTTTTTTTAGTTCTTGGTTGGCACCAATAAAATTTTTTGCATTGTCAGTATAAATAAATATCTTTACATAGTCCTCTTCGACAAACCTCTTTAGAGCATTAAAAAAAGAATTGGTGCTCAGATCACCAACCAGCTCGATATGAATTGCGCGTGTAACAAAACAAATAACTAAAATAACTTCGTTGTTTACGAGTTCTTAAAGTGCCATCCTTTATCATTATTGGACCGGCAAAATCGCAACCTACCGTCAAGAATGATCTTTGAGGTATTAATCTAGATTGGGGAAGATCGCCCATCATACTTTGGTTTTTAACTTTGGCAAATAAGTCTCACTCTTTCCTCGCGCCGAACGCTACGTAGCTAAAGTCAGCAGAATGGTATACGAGGGAGTCTTAAAAACTATACAGATATTTTTAACGACTGTTTTATACGACTGAATTTTATTTTTTCAAAGTCTTTAAAGAAATCAAAACCCAAATATTTTACATTATAAGGTCTGGGGTTTCGTCTAGCGTTTAAACAAATATTTATATAATCTGCAGGTACGTTAATAGTTGCATTTTTAAGCTTTCGTTCGATTAAGGAATGCATAGAGTCGGCTGGCATTTGTGTATGTCCTTTCTCTAAATATTTTTGCTCAATTACTACGCCATCACAGTGCTTCGTCCCATGGACAAAATTCAAAATATAAATATGTAATTGTAACTATTTTGAACATATCCTCCGAAAGATAAATTGTTCCTATGCAACACACAATAAACATTATTAACCTGGAAAACGTCACTGCGAAATAATGCGCCTGTCAAAAGTCGTTATTCCAAAGGATTGCATTAGTTTGTAATCGGTATCAGGATTAGTGCGGTACAAGTTGTGACACGATTAAAAGAATATCCTATTTTAATTGCTAACTAGATATGGAGGTTACAAGACAAGGTACGCAGGTATAAATAATAATAATTTTATCTGATTAAATTGTAGTTTACACATTTGATATGTCTTAGAAAATGATATGTACAATTTTGTAGAAATTTTCAAGTTGTCAAACTTTAACGAAGCTTTAAAAAAAAACATTAAATATCATATCCCAGATTTTATGTTTTCTTGTAAATATATTCATAAACTTTTAGATTTTAAGTTGTTTTTCTGCTTCTATGTGCATCCAAATTATTTATGATTTTTTTTTTTTCATAGTCCGCTCTATCAAAAATGCCGACCTGGTTGATATATGCCTAACCAGTCGAAAATCTAGTCAAACACATGTTGTTTTCGAGAAAATTTGTTCACTTTGGGGTTTAACGGAGACATCTGCCAGAATTCAGAAGGAAATAATGTCTGTTAGCAGACTGTATTGTTTAAATTTAAATCGAAAATGGAAGAATTCGTCGCGGGCCCGGCATCGCTTTGAGGTCAATAATGAAACTTGGCTGCAGCAAGAAATTAAGTTTCCAAAATGCATTCAAGGTACTGTTCATTATGGTTATAATACTGTTAAATATAACGTAATTATCAATAGGTTATGATAATATTAAAAAACATTACTTGCTTATCGCAACTGCTTCGATAAAATAGGGTTACATCCAAAATAAAATTCCAAAATTTAATTTTGTAATTTTTATAGAGAAGAAACACAATATTGATGTAAATTGTTCTGGTCAAAGTCGTGGTGCAGGAAGACCAAGAAAGCCGTTTTTAGAAGTTTCAAACAAAACGAAAAAAAGGCGCGTCCAGGAGCTGTCAACTAGCTGGACATCAGATGAATTACAGTTTGCTGCACAGACCAGCAACGGATTTTCAAAACCAAACGAGTCGTCATCACTTTCTCCACATCAAGCGTTAGCTCTGTCGTTAGATTTAGGGTTATCAGAGAGAAAATATAAGTTATTAAGGTCGATGATGAACGGGGTGCACCAGAACTGTTTGCCTAGTCTGTATGCTGTCAATCAAGCTAGGAATATTCTGCTGCCATCAATAATAATTGTAACAGAAACTTCTGCTGAGGTCGATTTGCAAGTGCTTCTTAACTTAACATCTAAAAGTATAATAGAATTAATAAATTTAAATGAAAACAAAGAACTTAAGCTCATTTGCAAATGGGGCTTTGATGGCAGCTCTGGCCATAGCCAATATAAAAAAGTTTTCACCGATGCGTTATGTACTGATGAATACTTGTTAATAGTTGCTATGGTTCCTATACGGTTATTAGACAAAAATAATGGAAAACAGTTGTGGATCAATCCCCGTCCATCTTCGACTCACTATTGTAGACCGATAAAATTTATGTTTAAAAAAGAAAACGCAACACTAGTACGTGACGAGGAGAACGACATGAACAATAAAATTAACCAACTCTGTGGATTTAAAGTACAAACCAAAAATGGCAACATATGTCAAGTTAGTTTCGAAATGTTGTTCACAATGATGGATGGCAGTGTGAGCAATGTTCTGTCTAATACTAATGCCACATCTAAATGCATTATTTGTGGAGCAAGTCCCAAGGATATGAACTCTGAATATGTAGTCGATCGTCCATCAAAAGTAGAGAACTACCGTTTTGGCTTGTCTACCCTTCATTGTTGGATCAGGTTTTTTGAATGTCTGCTTCATATCGGTTATAGGCTACCAGTTAAGACATGGCAAATCAGGGGAAATGAAAACAAAGAAATCGTTGAAAACAATAAAAAAAGAATTCAGGCAGAGTTTAAATCCAAACTGGGTCTTCTAGTAGACAAGCCAAAGCCAGGGTATGGCTCTACTAATGATGGCAATACGGCAAGAGTATTTTTTTACAACCCTGATTTAAGTTCTGAGATTACAGGGGTAGACAAAGGTCTAATTAAAGAATTCTCCATAATTCTTAGGGTTTTAGCCAGTGGTTCCCATATACATATGGATAAATTTATGATGTTGCTACAAGAAACGAGACTGCATTATTTAGAGTTATATCCTTGGTACTACATGCCGAGCAGTGTGCATAAAGTGCTTGTACATGGCAGTGACATAATCGGTTCTTTCTCACTGCCAATCGGACAGCTTTCAGAGGATGTCTAGAAGCTACACACAAGGAAGTGAGAAAAAATCGATTACTTCACACACGCAAAATTTCTAGAAGTAGTTCAAATTTAGATTTATTAAGATACCTTTTGTTAGCATCCGAACCTCTAATTTCGTCTTTACGGAAAGTGGTGACTAAGAAAAGTGTCAGACTAGATAAAGATGTTGAAAAATATTTGGTAAATGAAATAACTGATACTGATAAGGAAAATATGCCACATTTCGAAGACATAAATTTAGAAAATATTGTTGATAGTTCCTCAGATTAAGATTAGTTTTACAAATGTATTTATATAATTTGTCATTTTTGGTTAAATCTTTTTTAATAATAATAATTGTATTGTATTTAATTTACATCACCTTTAATTATCATTTAACTCAATTGAAAAATTAAGATTTTTTTTAAAATCAGTCACAATTTTATTATAATTTATTATAAATTAGTACCAATTTATTATTAAAAAAAAATTAAAAATGATTGAAATCAAAAAGTAGCAACATTTTATGAAAAATTCAATACATACAGAAATACATAAAAGAAAATCGGCATTTTATTTTTAAAGTGCTGTTACGCCCCCTAGCAGATATTTTTCAAAATTAAAAATAATTTACAGCGATTTCTCTTGGTCGATTTACTCATAATATTTCCAATGAAAATAGGAATAATACTTATTAAGATATAGCCGAGAGCCATCGTTAGCTGAACACCCTGTATATAAGATACTTTATTAAGAAAATGCAATTCTCTTTATTACTAACCCTGTATAAAAAAAATATTTTTAAAAGCACACCTGTGATACTACTGTAATAGTTGAATTATGTTTTATATTTTAGTTTGTTAACGAGAATCGAGTAATTACACACTGTACTGACAGGAAACCCTGTATAATTCGTTAATTATTAGTTAATAAGATATTAGAAGATGTTTATTGGAAGACCTGTGTTTAAAAAAAGTGAAATCTAACTTTTTTTTAAATTTAACTTTTTTCAAAATTAGTTGTAAATGTTTCTTTTCTTGATAAATATTTTCTTTTTTTAACTTTTTCATTATCCTGGCTAGAATCTTTAAGAATTTCAAAAAACGATTAAAATACGTAATATTGGGTTAAACATTCCATATTTCTTTTGTTTCATTAAAATGTATGAAGTAGAGCCTGGTTTATTAATTTTGTCCTCTTTTCCAATACATTTGCTGCACTGTGCGCCATGTTGTTTTGCGATATTTAAGAGAGCACTAGACAAATTAGAATTATCGGTTTTGGGACGTACATCCATCGTAAAAAATTATTTTTTGTCCTTCATCTATATCTTGTACTCGTTTGAAGTGACTCCTCCGGCCCCCTCAAGCCATATAAAACAATATCCATTGTTAGTTTTAATGTCGTAAATGGTAAAGTTGTGGACCATTAACTTCATTTTAAAATAAAGGGCTTTGTGTAAAGCATGATCTTCTTTGGACATGTTTTTATTTCCAAAGGCAACGCATTTGTCACATTCATCTTTTTTAGGTTTAAAAAGTTCATATCAGCAAAAACTATATCAAATACTTTCTGTGATAATGGTTTTGCGTTATAGGAATTGGACCAAAGTTTATAAAATCTATATAAAGCGGATTTTGAGTCCCAGCTGGGTTCAAGGTACAATTTGGATGATTGCGCTCTAGAGTAATGGGACTCAATTTTTGGCAAGTCTCTTAAAAATTCCTTTAAAAAATTTGTTCGATTTGAAAAACCTTTTGCATCCGTTTTGTTTTCATCAGGGGTGTATTGATCTATTTTTATATTATCTGGCTTGGATAAGGAATTTTTTTATTCTATTACAGTCCGTTCCCCGATTCCCAACGTGCTAAGAAACATTTTCTTGCATACTCGAAACTTCTCGTCATTTTGCAATGTTAAGTAGTAGATCCAAGTGAAATTTCGTCTTGATGTGTTTTCATCCTTCCTGTTTCTCATTCTTTTGGTGTCAGCCTTTATAACCCAATGGTTTACAAATACTTTACGCTGACTCCATTTTAATTTTAACCAAAAATGTTTAAAAATACTCTCCCGGTCCTTGTCACTTAATTTATCGCATTGAAGCGATTTTGTTTTCTGAGACATTTTACACTTACAAGATTCTTTCATCGCTCTTTTATCCCTTTTTATTTGATAATTCCATGCTCCATTTGTTTTCTTCTTACCAAAAAAAGCTTCACCCTTTTTCTTTTTGTTAGCATTTACTGTCCATTTTGTTTCGTCAACATCGTGTCGTTTATTTCGTTTCACTTTTCTTTCTTCCATAGTATTTTCAATATCAGATTCGCTACTAGTATCAGGAAAACCCAGATTCATCCCAGATAAAGCAGAATTTTGATCAGAGAGTTCAGAATCGTCTTTATCTTGCCTATTCAGATCTTCTTCACCAATTTTAGACTCAATATTGTTGGCCAAACGAAAGAATAATCCGTCTGCAAATTATTAACGCCGCTATTTACATTATTGCCGACTTATTCACCATATTCTTGCCTTTCTGAAATATCTAGAAATAAATGAATGCATAACTTCGCAAGCAAATTAATATAACAGCAATATTTTTAATACCTGTATGACCATTTTCGAGGATTCTATCTATATCGCTGTAATTTAGATTTAAGTTCATGTCGATATCGCAGTTGTTGCTACTTATTACTTATAAAGCGTTGCTTAAATCTAAGTTGTCGGTAACTTCCGGAATTTTCAAAATCATAATATTTTGCGAACTATTTAAGGACTAAGGACTATTTAAGGACTAAGGACTTTCTAAATTTGAATTGGCAGATTTTCTTTTTTGTAAGTTCTCAAACATTTTTTTTATTTCTATCGCTGCAGTTTTCCATGATGAAATAATCCCTAAATATTTATCATTTTAAAGGTAATAAAATAAATTTATAAGAATAATGATTCATAACTAAAAAAAAGTTATTATTTATAATTTATATAATTTGTTAATTATAATTAAATTATAATTTGTTAACTTTGGGGAAAATTAGGTATATTATCTTTGGAGAATTTGATTAAAATTTGAGATATCTAGTTGTTGCTGAAAAGAATGAAAAGTTATCAATTTATAACAACCACCAGTTAAACGCAAATCACCTACAAAATACAACTTTATTTGGAATAAAAAATCAACAATATTATTGTAAATAAAACCCAAAAGATGTAACTTTTAATACAACTTAAATGTCAGTATCACTGATATCACTTTCGAAATCATCCATGTTTTGAGGCCTTCTACATTGGTCTCCTCGGAACGGAAGACTTCCAAAAATGCTTTATACTCGTTAGGCAGGGCCGGAGGATTCATTTTGAACAAGACATAAGGTCGTCATATTTTTCTTTTGTAAGAGATAGTTTACTTTGATATAAAGGCATTTAAGTTATTATTTGCAGAGGATATTCGTGTTTTACGATTACAATTAAGTCGTCTAAATTCCCCATCAAAATCTTCTTTGAACTTAATAATAAACTGCGTCGATTTAGAAAAATTCATCCAGCACATTTTCTGCCAACTGACCAACTTACGGCTTTCATCTTCTTTCCTAAATATTAGTTTCTGGGCTGCATAAGTTATCCAGTCAAGAATTTGATTATGTTTAACATCGTGAACTAAATAGGGTTTGTCACCCCTTCTTCTTGCAGAGCGTGCTATTTTTTTCCAATCTGCAGGCCAGTTGGCCTTCCCAACTCTTTGATGATATAGCAGAATGCATGGAATCACATTCCATCTCACTGTGACCAACGACAAGAAATTTTAGTTCGATAGTTTGCAAGTGTGGAATTTCCTGAACCGAATTTAAACACATAGCTGCCACATATTTGTTGAGATTTTATCCTCCACATCTATCACTATAGCAAATTATGTGTTTAATGTTATCAGGTAATGACTTGAAATAGCTATAAAGACAACTAGTGATTTCACAACTCCCACGTTTAACTTCAACTTCACATGTAGCGGTCCCCTTGTTTAGAAACAACATTGTAAATGTAAAATTGAATGACTTCAAATGTTGTTTATAAAATAAGGAATTGTTCGACGGGTCATTAGGAACCATGAGAACTTGTTGGAGGTCAAAATTGCAACTCATATTTGTATTGATGTCGCAGCCCTTTCTCTAAAAAGTTGATAAACTCTTCAGAACTTGTATTTTGTTGAAGAAACTTTATAGTTTTATAAACTTCGGTCTTCTTACCCTGATCTTTTATTTTTATTAAATTTTGTTGCCAAGCCCGATCAACATGCCATGAGCAAAAAAGCTGGTATATTACTGGACCCATTATTGAACACCAGGCGCTGTAAAATGTAACAAATATCAGTCATAAATGATTTAGCAGTGATAATGCCTACAGCCAATTTAATTACACTAAAAACCACTTCATAAATATAAGTGTCTTTTCTGTTGCTAAACATGAACGCTACAGGAAGTCCTTCACCAAATTCATCGACCACTAATATAGTTGTTAACTCAAAATCATAGTTATTTAAACCATGCGTTCCATCTACTGCTATGATATTACTTCCAAATTTTTCTAACATGCTTTTTTGAAAACCAGTCATCAAAACTAAACAAAAATCATCTATTTGCAAACTATAAGGACCATCTTCCACACCCAGCTTTTTATAAAATAACACTGGGTTGCAAGTTACCGTTTTTGTCTCGTTGCTCTCGGCCCCTGTCAACCTGTTCGTTTGTTTCCGTCGTTTTATAGTATGGGGCATCATCCACAGTTTGAGATACACCGATTATTCTCTCTTCCAGAAAATTTGTAATCTCCTCGTTGTTGTTTGGTTTTGTCTCAATGACGTTTCCAGAGGAAATCTCTCCTTTATTATATATTTTTGAATGCAATGCCACTGCAGGTATATGTTTGCAAGTGATACTTTTGATTCGGAATTCTATACATTCGCAGGTATATTTGTGAAAACAAATGTTACATAGTTGACAATACATTACTTTGCAATTACTAATACAATCTTGTCTGTACTTAATACTTAACACTGTAAGAAGTATTTTGGGTTTCAGATTTAACCGTAAAACAACCATTTTTCTTTTTTTCTGCATTATGAAGTATCTGCTCTGCTTTTTTATGAGCTTTCATAATAGCCCTTCCTTGATAAGTATTTCGATTTGGTCTCTTCAAAGCTCTAAATATCTCAATAATAATATTTTTAAGAACAGCTCCATTCACAGAATCAGAGATGAAATAATATGCAACCACTTGTTTCCA